ATGCTCGTTTTTTTTCCATTGTTTCTTGGAGTGCTCTTCAATTCAATAACATCTGAACCAGCGGAAGTCGCGTGCTAAGTATACTCGAAATCCCTGAGATCGGGTAGGCGTGGCCGCATGTTTCAACTTAACCTGAAGGTGTCTATGCTTCTGGTGAGATATTTTCATCTTGACACAATTGTTGTCGTGTCTCTGTCCAACACAGAACAAGATGACAGTTGTCCCAGACTGGAATATTCCACGAGTAACCAGTTCCGTGCCATGTTCAAATGCCACGCCTACTCTGGCTCAGGGAGAGTGTAGATACTCTCACGGCGCAGTTTAGCGACGGGGGGGGGGCATTTTGCTTCCCATCGATGTGTCGACCCATCTAGATAGCCTTTTCTTGAGTTGACACGTTTTACCATGGTGGCTAGACGAGCTTGTTCCAGCTTCACAAGAGTTCACAAGTTTCACCAGAGTGAGACTTGTAAACCGGTAGTAGTGAAGCAGTGAAGGTGCAAAATACCCTCGTTGCCGAACTGCGCCTTCTCTCACTACTAAACATCACAGCATGACTAAAAAGTGGATGTCAGTCGTGATTTAATATGCGTTGACCGAAGCTTATTTAGCTATGGGGGTCGGTCTGAAAATGATTCCCTCGTACGTGAGGGCCATTCCCAATGGTACAGAAACTGGCGATTATTTGGCTCTCGATCTGGGAGGTACCAACTTCCGTGTGCTTTTGATTCGTCTGCGAGGAAGTGAAGCCGAGATGGTTGGCAAAATCTACGAGATTCCGACATCTGTGCAACGAGGAACTGGTGAAGCTGTGAGTCGTTACCTCTAACTTATTAACTCGCGACCACGAAAATACCAGCTGCTGACCTTTGGAGAGTTGATGGGGTTTCATGGAAGACCAACAAGCAAATGCGGATCGAGTCTGAACAGCAATGACTGAACAGCCGGTCCCCTCTTCGAGAAGCGATGCCTGGGAGTAAAAACACATCCTTTAAAGGCAGCGTCCGCGATCAACCAAAGTGAAAAAACCCTCCAATGAAAACGAACGCGGAGTTCGCAACCATAGCGGATATCCCACTCTTGCGGCTCGAAATGTATTGATTGACGAGGGCGGAGTCAACAAGGCTGAGCTGACGCCTCCTTCCCTGTTAATCCCGCCCCGACTGGTTAACAGTTATCAGTGCTTGCTGGCATTGATAAACGCTAAGTTTCTGGAGTTCCGAGGCCGGCGACGTGTATTGGAGAACTCACCAAAGGTCTGCGAAACTCGTCCACATGCCTTAAATTTCGTAGGGTCTTATTTCACGCTCTTCCACACCTTTTTCCTACTTTTTTTGATTAGTGCTTCATTGGCCACCTGTTCTAACAAATTTGACCCCTGAGACCTGCCAAAGTCCATCGCGGGCGCTGTCTTTAAACAACTTATGATTAGATACAACGTACGCTGAGCTGCGAGCTGTCGAAGCGTGGCGGTTTCCCCGTCCGAACATGCGCGGGGATGGGATCCAGGACCGTGGGATAGGCTCATTCCTCCATGCTCCGCCTAAAATGCAACTTGCGGCGCAGACATGCTGAACGCCGCTAGCCCACTCCAATCCCGTTTATACTGACCGCCGTCCGCGCGGCGCGTGTCGCGCGCAGCGCTCTTGGCACTTTGCCAAGTCGTGTAATTGCGCTTTGGAATACAATTAAAACGCAAACTCCTGATGCGGATAACATTTGAGGTGTTGCTCATGCTGCAAAGTCCGAATCGAAGATGATGACGAGGGCCAGAACTCAAGAGCAACTGTGCTGCTTCTGCAATCTCCCTCAAAAGCCGCGCATCCCACCAAACATGAAAAGCGGCCTTAGGGTTCTGCTTATTCATTCAATGTCTTTTTATGGCTTTAGAGCAGGTAATCGTGCCAAATTGCAAAAATTTACACCGGTTTCGAACTAATTTACATTCACTTAGATTTTTTATTTACAATTTTATTCACATCTACATTAGTTGCTCTTCAATCTAGCCTTTGTCATCTTCATCACCTTCTATTCGGACTTTGCAGCATGAGCAACACCTCAAATGTTATCCGCATCAGGAGTTTGCGTTTTACTTGTATTCCAAAGCGCAATTACAAGACTTGGCAAAGTGCCAGGAGAGCTGCGCGGACGGCAGCCAGAGTCAGCATAAGCGGTATTGGAATACGATAGCGGCGTTTGGCGTGTCTGCGCCGCAGCTTCCCCGCGCATGTTCGGACGGGGAAACTTCGACAGTGGGCGCTCCTTATCGCTAAGGACGCACCTCGCATCTGAGCGTGTGTCTTTAACTAAGACGAAATAGTCCGTTTTCGTGGAGCAACTGTCGAGGCAGAAGCAAAGGCTGCATCCCATAGGGAGAAAGGCATGGAACACGAGGAGACTAAACAGTTGCTCCAAAGCGGCAATATAACGTAGAAAGGTGAGCCGTCGCAACATTGATCGGCGTCTATACTTCGCGATGACGCTAAAATTGCAGTGCTGCAAAGCTATAGACACGAAAGCAGCTGCAGGTGGGAATCAGTCGACAGTTGCTGCCAGAACTCTGGGAGAGCATAGAGGACTGTGAAGGTACTAGCTTGTGTGAAGGCAGCGCCTACCCTCCCGTTATCCTACACTCTCAAAACGAGAGCGGCTAGCGCCGATTGACTCCCCTCTGCCTCTGCCTTCGCATGTATAGCATCAGCACGCCCTCTTGCACGGTAGTGCGTCGACGCGCCTAACAGCGCGTCACAGCGCGTAGTCGCTTGTCGTTGTGAAGTGCCCTACTCATCAGCTCTCGAGGGTAAATGGACACACAAAGCGGCACGAAAGTCGAACCTGCAGATCTGAACGTGTACAGTCTAGCCAGTTGCGGTTCAGGAGAAACTGCAATGAAAACATACAATAACCAAATTTTCTGTTTACCAGCTATTCGACCATATTGCCAATTGTATCGCGATGTTCTGCGAGGAACAATTTGGCAAAGGTGTCAGAAAGAAGCTTCCACTTGGATTCACATTCTCCTTCCCTTGCAAGCAAGAAGGGACTAACAAAGTGAGTTTTGACGGTGATCCCCATTACAGCATTGCAGCTATTACGGTACTGAATTTTTAGAGCCAAACTTATCCACTGGACCAAGGGATTCAGCGCCAGCGGTTGCGAAGGTCACGATGTTGTGCAACTGCTGCGAAAAGCATGCAAAAAACGTGGAGTGCGTCATTTTTCGAGAGTTTATGCGAAGATTCTACTCCAACCATGAAATCAACGCTTTAGGCTAACCTTCAACACTGCCGTAATTGAAGGCAGTGGACATGATTGCTAGAGGCGGACGGTTGTTGCCAGCGTCATTGGTGGAAGGAC